TCAACCACAAGAGAGAGTCATGAGTAATACTGCTGCTCGTTCCTCTTCACCAAGTTTCCTCCATATCCTCTTCTTCTCTACCGCCGATCTCTTCATCGCCGGTACTTTAAAATCCAAAAACCTACTCACTCTCTTCACATTCTTCTTGTTCCCATTGTTGCAATTCTCACTATCTGTCTTCTTCTTGTTCCCATTGCAATTCTCTGTTTCCGTCTTCTTTATCATCATCACCATCTTGTTGTTGTTGTTGTTGTTCTTCACATTCCCTGATTCCGCTTTCCCGATCCTGACATTTCGATGAGGAGGATTCTCGACAACAGTCTTGATCTTCTTCACATTGCAATCCTCAGTTTCTGTGGTGATCATCATCTTGTTGTTGTTATTATCACTGGATTTGTTGTTCTTGATCTTATTATCATCCTCTTGTTTTATTCCAAGTGCTGCTTGTCTCTTCTTCCTACTCTTGATCCCACACGCATTACACAACGACTGCAAACGACAACAAAAATCATTGATTAGACCACAGAACAAACAGACAATCATCAAGTAGAGACATGATCACACTCTTAAGTTACAAACAGCAACAAGATCTTGATCAAAAACTTAAGTATTTACAATTACAAGTACTAAACAAAGACACCAGAACCAGAATCAAACTACTCAAAACAAAACACAAAAAGATCAATTAGCTATGTTCTTCTTCTATGGTCACTAAAGCTTCACACAATCCTCACCTAATCTAGATGAATACTCATGATCACACACCAAATGTACTAAAACAAGTTCCAAACAGAGCTATAAACACAAGATCAACCAACATTTGAGAGCTATATCACTACCCTTTTACACTAGATCTACAGATTCCATCAAAAGATTGGATTTTTAGGGTTTTTTTCAAAACAAAGGAAGAAAAAGGATCAAGCTTTAACTTACTTTAGGACCAGCAGGTCCACCACGCCAAAGAGGAGTCCTGCTTGTACCACAATCAACACATGTCTTCTTCGTATCACCTCCACTTCCACTACTGCTACAGTTTCCGTTTTCTACATCCGACAAATCTCCCGCCGATGATTCCAGCTTCGTCTTCGTTTCTTCCGTCATTGACATCTACAAAACCCAAACAGAGAAAGTTTAAGTTAGAAACACGATCGATTACTACAAAACCCCAAGGATCAAAAGAAACGATCAGGGAAGAAACTCACATTGATTCGAAATGATCCAGATTGAGAAGAATGGAAAACTCTGTAGCTTGGAGAATCACTGAAAATGGC